CGTGTCCTCCCTCCCGTGGCGCAGAGGTTGTCCTGTGGCCTCCTGTGATGAGCGCCTCAAACCCTGTCCCGCTGCCTGCGCCGGCCACGGGCACGGCAAAGAGAGCGAGCAGGACCCCCCATCCCAGCCCAGCACTGAGGTTCCCAAAGGATGGGCTGTTGTAAGAGCCTCAGCAGTGGCAAGTGCTTGGCTGGCGCGGGAGGCAGCAGCTCCTGTGTCTCACAAATGCCACGTCTTAAACGTCAGCTCGTGGGCCAGAGCCGTGGAGGGAAAGAAGCCCTTTGATTTGCTGGCAAGTGGAACAGGACTCTCTTTTTCCTTTGCTCTAGGTTCATCCGGAATTGTACGTGGACAAATCGAGGGGAGATAAACTGAAGATCAACCTCGATGTTATTTTCCCACATATGCCCTGTGCTTGTGAGTCAGACTTCTGAGTACTGGGGATGATTTTGCTACTTGCTGGGAGGCCCAGTGTGCCTGGTGCTTCCGAGTGCTGCGCTGCTGCCTGGGCCACAGGCAAGGAGGAACTGGTGATGGCTGTGATTCCGCCGTCATTCCAGCCAGGCCGGGCACTTAAACCAGTGCTCCCAGTGAGGCAGTGCTATTTTTCTAGATTATAAATGAGGGTAACATGCATAAATCCCCTTTACGCGTGCGAATGGTCTTGTATTTGGTCACAGAGCTCAGTCATACCAAAAAAGCTGGCGCAGAGTTCACTTGGGACTCTCGACGTAACTGCAGTGGTTGAAAAACTCGAGAGCTTCCTTTGGAAGTTATTTGAGGAGGCAAAACTTTTCTGTGATTTTTGTACTTCGCTTCTGGCTGTAACACCCTGCTTCTTGTTCTGTTGTAGTAATTCCTTTGGGTAATGCACTGGGCCTGATGTAGCAAGTCTGACTTCCTTCTGACCACCCAAGCTGGTCTTTGCCTTCTTTACATCTAATAGAGTGTGGGAAGGCAAGAGAGGCTGGAAGGCTGTTATTTTGTGCAGAGAAGCTGTCAGTCTGGCACATTCTTGTTTCCCTCGCTGAAAGATTGTGTCTTTTCACTGGTCAAATGGATCCTCAGCCTGCCACAGGCCATAACAAATGTGTGGTCATCAACTGCTTTCCTTGCTCACTGGTTTCAGATCTGAGCATTGATGCCATGGACGTAGCAGGAGAGCAGCAGCTGGATGTAGAGCACAATCTGTTTAAGCAACGTTTGGATAAAGCTGGCAATCGTGTGACTCCAGAGGCCGAGAGACACGGTGAGATGCTGTTCTGCCTTGCTTGGATGGATGCTCTCATAATCTTCCCATCACTGTGTGCCTGTTTTGAGAACAAGTGACAGCTGAAGAGCATTTAAATACCTCAAAAGTCTTGCAGAGTTTGTAGCACACAAATCTATTAAAGGGGCAGATCAGACAAACTCCAGTTGTACTCGCTACTTATGCGAGGCAGATTTTTGCCTAGTTCCTCTGAAATTACAACAAGGACTCGTGGATGGATTTCAGCTGCTGAGTGAATGGACTTTTACAACGGGAAGTGCAGCAGCTGTTCTGGCAAACCTTGGCTGTCTTTAAATCACAGTGGGCTGACAAATGGGCCAACCTGGTTGGAGGAGAGACCCTTTCTCCAGGGAAGGCTCCAGTGACTGGACACTTAAGCCTAAGCTTGCACCTTACTGCATTTACTTTGTGCATGTTAATGCACACCTGATAAATCTATTCTAGTTGCTTTATCAGTTACAAGTTGTAGTATGTGGTCCCTGGCTACAGAAACCTCTTCTCTGTGTTATTTGTTTATTAGGACTCATCCTGGTCCTTCAATACAAACCAGAAACAAGTGTGGCCAAGTGTTACCATCCGAGAGTGATACTGTCCTAGAGTTTCCTTTCCAAACATGAGCATCTTTTCTGGGAGCAAGTGTGGTTCTGTGTAACAGCATAAAGTAAATTAGTTGATCTGTATCACTCAGTTGAGCAGAACAAGAGTACGAGATACCTTTTCTAGACATGCCTCATCACTCTGAATCCTCTTTTGTCTTAGAGCTGGGGAAAGAAGAGGAAAAAGTGTTTGATCCAAATTCTTTGGATGCTGATCGCTGTGAGAGCTGTTACGGGGCAGAGTCAGAGGACATTCGGTAACTTCTATACCTTTTTCTATCTTCTTAACACTTGAATTCACACTGTTATGTTGCATTTGTTTTCTTTTCCAAATGTCTGTGTAGATCTATGCAATTAAATCGTCCTGGGCACATGTTCAGGGAATGGCGAGAATTGTTGTGGCTTTGGTATGCCTTTGGAAGATGCACTCCTGTTTGTGAAGAACATGCAGAGCTAGGTTGTCTAGTTCCTCTGTATGCCTGTTTAGGGGCAGTGCAAGCTGCACAGACTTTGCAGTAGCACAAAGCTTGTGTCTCAGCAAACTATCCTTTCTGGAGTTATTTTGTGTCCAGAGAGGAGAACCAAGAAGGAAACCTGTTTTTTCCTGTGACCAAGGTGTTTTCCAGCGGTAGAAAGGTAATGAAAAAAGTTTGCTATTAACCTTCCTTCCCATTTTGACAATCTTAGCCTAAAAAGAGAGCAGAGGAGGAGTAGAAGCAGGCAGATGCTTTGTTCACATGGGGAAGTTCCAAACTGCTCAGAGCTGTGGGACACTGACCTTGGTTTTTTAGCACATTTCTTTGTCAAGGAGTGACTTGGCTGTCTCACTGGACAGGCAAAGCCCTCTTCAGACTCAAGCACTGCATTAAACCAGCTTGCATCCTCATGCCAACATCTCAGTACAACAAGAAGCTCGAGCTCCTTTAGGAGCACCGGGCCACCTTTCAAGGTCTGGTCCCTGATGTTTCCTTTACTGCTTTGTTGAAGAAGAATCCGACAAGGATTCCAAGTGACAAAGATGGTAAGATGGTGTTTGTGCTTTTGCAGGTGTTGTAACACTTGTGACGATGTCAGAGAAGCCTACAGGCGGCGAGGCTGGGCCTTCAAGAACCCAGATAGCATAGAGCAGTGCAAGAGGGAAGGGTTTAGCCAGAAAATGCAAGAGCAGAAGAATGAGGGCTGCCAAGTGTATGGTTTCTTAGAGGTCAACAAGGTGAGACATGGGTTTTGCTGTGAACCTGCTGCATGATGGTGAAAAGGCAAAGTTCCTCTCCTTCTCCAGCTCTAGGTGTTCCCAGGCCTGGAATGTAATAACCCCTGGGCTCAGCAGGTGCTTGTGCTCGTGAAATGGGTTCAGTAGGAGAGTCAGGAAAAGTGGTGGGAAGGGGCTAATCCTCTGGCTGGTTGTGTGGGCTGGCGGGAAGCACGCTGGCTGGAGAAGTTTTGCATTTCCCACTGTCTAGCTAGTGAGTCTTGTTGCTGAGGTTTCTGGGGAGGAGAGGCAGCTTCTCTGAGGCTGAGTGTTCCCACCTGCCCTACTAGTCTTAAAACAGGTCACTGGTAGATGCTGGAGATAACAGTAACCAACAACCTGCCAGCAGAGGTGCTGGAGAGAGTGAAATTTTAGTTTAGTGCTTTATTTTTACATGCAGCTTCTTTTTGTGACTGTGTACATGGGATCACCACTGCTTATTGTATGAAGGGTTTTTTACTCTGCTCACTCTCCTCACAGTTACTCTCTCAAGCCCTCTTATGTGATACCATTTTGCATTTCCTGCAGCAACAGTCAGTTCCCTCCCAGTAAATTCCTCCTCCTTCTCATTTTTCTGTCCACTAAAGTAATTTGCATAAACCAGTTATTTTCAACATCAGTATGTATTTATATTTATATAGATTCAAACCTTTTAATGAAAGATTCCTCTTTCTTGCAGGTAGCTGGAAATTTTCACTTTGCGCCAGGAAAGAGTTTCCAACAGTCTCATGTACATGGTAAAGTATTTTCTTTCCCTGTTTATTGGCCTTTAGCTCCAAGTCTACCTGACCTTTTTCTCTGAATTTCTTTGAATGCAGAATCATAAAATGGTTGGGTTGGAAGGGACCTTGAAGATCATCTAATTCCAACCCCCCTGCCATGGGGTTGCAATGTCTTTGCATTGCTCTCCGTAGTAGTAAAGGGCTGCTTCAGTGGGGAGGATGTTTTTGAATTGTTGTAACAAAGGTTTAGAACCATCATGGACAAATAGAAAAGTGGTTTCTGGAGGGGCTGCCACATGGGTGGGGAAGAACTTGGAGGAGAATGAGAGACTACCCAGAAACAGTCTCATTTGTTTTATAAAACTTTGCTGCTCTGCTGTAAACTAGCCTCAAGGAAGTTGTTCAGTCCAGGACCTGAGTATCAGTATCTCTGGAAGGGATATTTTGGAGAATGCTTCAGGAGAATTTTAAAGCAATTCAGAACTTTTAGAGTAAAATTTAAGTTACAGAGGACTTCCACAACTGTATACATACACACACACAGAGTGTCCAGAATAATAGCAGTAGCTTATAGAATCATAGAGTGATTTCGGTTGGAAGAGTCCTTTAAAAGTCATCTAGTCCAACCCCCCTTGAAAGGAACAGGGACATCTTCAAGTAGATCAGGTTGCTCACAGCCCCTTACAGCCTGGCCTTGAATGTTTCCAGGGATGGGGCATCTACCACCTCTCTGGGCAACCTGTACCAGTGTTTCACTGCCCTGATTCCTTGTATCTAGTCTGAATCTACCCTCTCCTAGTTAAAGAACTACAACTTGTCCTGTCGCTACAGGTCCTGTTAAAAGGTCACACCCTCTGGATGTGGCCATCCAACCAATTCCTCATCCACTGAATAGTCCACCCTCGAAATCCATATCTCTCCCAAGTTAGAGAGAAGGATGTTGTAAGTTTTATGGTAGTCCAAATAGTCAACGTCAATATCTCTCCCCTTTCCTGATGATACAGTCACTCCACTGTAGAAGGCCACTAGGTTGGTCAGGCAGGACTTGCCCTTGGTGAAGCCATGCTGACTGTCTCAAATCACCTCCATGTCCTTCCTGTGCCTTAACATAGCTTCTAGGAAGATCTGATCCATGACTTTCCCAGGCACAGTGGTGAGGCAACTATACAAGCCAATTCCCTCAGGACACTGGGATGCTTTTTGTCAGGTCCCATAGACAAAACGCATTGTTCAGGTTCCTCAGGTTGTCATGAACATGATCTTCTCTTACTGTGGGAGGGACTTTGCTCCCTTATATCTTTAGCAAGAACTTGATAGAAAATATTTGTGGTTTAATGGAATGTTTGCAGTTACCCTGATCAGGTTTTTGAAGTGTAATATTACACTTAATGTTTTGAATGCTGAGTGTCAAAAGGACATAACAGTCTTTGACTGAAGACTGGTTGTCATTTTTTAGGTCCCTTGGTATCTTCTCACTGGTAATCAAGAGCAAGTGACATGAATTCTTTTTTTCTGCAGACACTGCAGCCTCTTTCTCTGTTCCTTTCCTGGAACACTGGTTTCCCCACTGGTTGTGGGGCTGCTACTATTGCACAGGCCTTGTACAGATACCACTTCCTCATCTGAGCTCTTCTCCTGCCCATTGGACAGTGTGGTACTCGATCCCCATCAGTCAAGGACACTATTTTGGTGTGGAAGAGATCCAGATCCTCTGGTAGATCACCTGTACATTATTCCTTCCACAGAGGGTGTTTGTGTGAGCTCATTCTAACTTCTGACCCAGAGTGGTGTCTGCCAGGGAATAAATCATTTTCACCCCCAAACTGGATACTGGAGGATGAGATTCTTATTTGTTGCTCAGGACTTTTTTTTTTATGCTGATAAGCTTCTTTCAGCGTTTTGGTGTCTTGGTGCTGAAAGATGCAACGTCTCACCTTCCTGTGCAGGTGGACAAAGTGTTCTCAAGTTACATCAAGTCTGTTTTGGAGACCACAGATGTGATGTTTCCATTTGTCACTGCACTATAATCCACCAGAACTCAGGTCATAGCAGTTGTTTGGAATGCCTGGTCTTTTACAAGCAGCCATCTGGAGGCTCTCCATACATTACATACTTCTCCAAACCAAAACTCACGCTGTTGTAGAAGCACCACCAGGGATATAGCATGTGGCAAAGGGGATTGAAATTGCTGTGTGAAGGATTCAGAGGCCCAAATGTGAGGAGGTGTAAGTCTATGACAGTTATTGGTTAGTCATGCATGGTATTGAATATATGTGAATGGTCTTTCTAAACAAACAAAAATGGAAGCTACTTCACCTCCTTTGAGCTATGCCATCCAAACTTGCACTTCCCCTGCCCTCCATCCTTCCAGGTATTGCCTTTGTTGGGATATTGCAATGGAATGAGCAAAAGCAACCTCATGGTTTGCTGCATTGTCTGTGCATCAGGTGTGATGAAAGAAGCACACGACTGATTAAAGACAAAAACTTGTTACCCAGCTTTGAACTTTGATGTTGTGAATCCAGAGAGCACTTCTGGATAGCTTTGGTTTCTCCTAAAATGATCTTTCTGTTATCTTAAGACTGAAAAAGAATCTTAACTATAACCAGCATTGTCCTCTGGCATGCTGCTTTGGAACTCATTTAACATATATGGGCATCCCGCTGTATTTTTCCTTTTGGTGATTAATTCCTGCAGATTTGTTCCTCTGTTAAACTTTATGGTTGCTTGTCCCTGTCAGTCCTTTGGCTAGCTAGGGAGTCATTTTATATGGCCTAGAAAGCACACCAGCAAAGCTGTTACTCTTCTTTTTGGTACATGATTTAAATGCTGCTCTATCTGAATCTCTGTATCATTTTGTTGAAAGGACCTGAATATTTCTCTTTTCTCTCCTACTCTGCTCATTTTTGCAGTGCACGCTGTTGAGAGTAAGTGTTGCTGTATCCTTTGTTTTTTGTCCCCTCCAAAACTTTACTACAGAACTAATGTAATTTCGATTATTTGCTGTGCCCATGAATCTCCTTTGAGAGGAGCTGTTGATCTAGGCTGGGAGTTGAGAAGATTTCCTGCAAGCTAAAAGGAGAGGCATCCCAGGTCATTCTTCTGTGGTAAATGAGGGCACCAGATTGAAAAGGTTGAGAATCTTTGTCTTAATCAATTTGAATATATGAGTATTGGAGATAATGTGTTGGCAGGTTAATAGTTGCTCTGTGCAAATAATGTAATTGAGGGGGACATGGTGACAAGGGGGAGAGACTTCTGCCATTTGAAGTCAGATGGGGTAATGATCTCATTGAATCTCATTTGTACAACAGGCTAGAGAATTTCTCCTGGGAATTCATGCTAATCTCAGAATACTTGGTAGGAGGTTTTCCAAGGGTTTGTAAGCCACTGGATTTTTTTAAGGGTGACCATTCCGGGCTGAGATGTGATGTTTCAACTCGGGAACATCTGGTAGAGGGCTCAGGCTTTTGGATTTGCTCCTTCCCTCCCCTAGCTGCAACGTTTTCTGTGTTGCTTCTTGCCTCAATCCCCTCTTCACAATGCATCCTTATGCCACTTTTCCTCTTCCTGTAAGGTATTTTCCTGTAGAAAATTCATCCCCAGTTTGAAAATTGGCATCCTAGCTCACCTTGGAGCACTGTGTTTGAGTAGCTGTGTCTTGGGTTTCTTGCAGTCTTCATGTGTTTATTGACAGAGTTCTGAGTGGCCTAAAGTGCTGTTAACCTATTTTACAGTTAAAGGACTGAATTTTGGAGTCTGAGGGGGCTTTGTGGTTGTTCAGCTCAGAAATGCTAGATGGGGAGATTCTTCAGATACAGTTCTTAAAACTGTTCCTAAAAGAGTGAAGAAAACTAGTTTATACAAAGCCAAACAGACTTCTTGACAAACTTGAGATGTTTTACAGGTCTCTTTATTTTATCTAGCTAGGCACTTACCTGCAGTTACAGGAAGGAAGAGTATGTTTTTCTGTTTCTTCAGGAATAACAGTCTCCAGTCTTAGCTGACAAGTCTCTTAAAATCTTCTGTTTATTGTCTAAGCAGGCTAGGCCACTGCACTCTTGACTTAAGTGCAAACAGTACTGCAGCATGAAGCAGGGTGTTGCAGGTAACCATTAAGAAAACCAGCACAGCATAATCCCAAGGCCACTTCTCCCTTCTTCCCTTTCCCTGCCACCATTTCACATCTGTTTCCAGATTTTTAGTCAAGAGTTTCTTTTTTAAAGCCAAAGGAGTTCTTTGCTCCAGCTGCAGCACAGGCACACAAACCACTGTGCTAGTGGCAGTGATAGGCCTGCCTGCTTGTCAGAGGCAGCAACAGGACTGTCCGAAGCCACTGCAGCTCTGGGCACTTTGTAATGCAGAACCATTGCCTTAATTCAAGTGACTGCAGCCTTAGTTTCTGAGCATTGAACATTTTAACTGTGACATGCAAGGGCCTCTCCCAAATCGTTAGGAGGAGTATCATTCAGGCTTAGCATTTCCTTTCCTAACTGTATATTCTCAGTTTTGCATGCATATCTCTTTAGGTTTAGTAAGGGTTTTATAGGACTACAAGTAAAGCTTCTGGCGTTTTCTTGAAAGATGTTAGTGGAAAAAAGATTTAGTTCACAGCACATTTATATTAATTGAATGTTTTAAAGGAGAGGTGAGTTCCAATTAGTTCTTTAGCTTTGTAGCCTGTCTTGTGCTAGGCTGTGTATCAGAAACCCTTCAAAGGAGCAGCCCTTGGTGATCTGACTCCATCAGCTCCCAGAATAATAGCCTATGATTTTTGAAGTGTGTTTTTTCTTTGCTAAGGTGCAAGTTGAGGTCTCGGTTTCTGAGTGTGTGAATTTACCTGGTAAAATGTGCCATGGCCTCTGGCCACTTTAAGATCATTGTGTGACTTTGGCTAACCTGGTAGGAGCAATACTGAAATCAAGTTGTAAGGTATATTTTCACCCTGAGACTGATGCTTCTGGCATTGCATAAAGTCATTTAAGTAGCCAACCAAAAGATATCTGTTGTCTTCCATTGCCTCTATCTTTGCTAGATCCCTTCTGGGGGTACGTGCTGCTGCTGGTGTCATACTGCTGTATGCAGGTAGGGCAGAGAGAGGACAGGCCAAATTCCCCAAGCCCTAGTGTCAGTGACAGTCCCCTTGGCCCCACCAGTGCTTGGCAAATTCCCTGGTCAGGCCATCCCCACAAAGACTTTTCCTTCCCAGCGTGTTCTCTGGGCAGCAGTAACAAGGCTGATAGAGTGCTGGCAGTCGCCAAGATGATGATGATTTCTTTAGGGCACTTGCGTCTGATGTTAAGGCACATGCTCTGCTCAGTTGTTAGTTCAGATCTGTTGTGCTTCTGTGTTTTACCGTAGTGAGAGGAGCTACGTGTGTCAGTTGGTGACTGAGGCAACAGTGCAGTTTTCCTGGCTTGCCCCTGCCATCTTGTTTTTGCCCTAGATTAAGAATACATTCAGGTGAGGACTGAAATACCTAATGTGAAGAAACCCCACATTAAAGTTCCTTTTCCTCACTGTAGCAGTGGCTAGTCTCTGGCAGGAGGGGAATTGCAGCAGTTTCATCTATCACATGCCCTACTGCAAGCAAGAAAGAAACCCAGGCAATTTTCTTGCCGTTTTAGATCGCAACATGGACATGAGAGGAGCTACCTTTTAAGCTAGAATAAGGTAAATAGATCTGCTTGTTACCACAGTGTGAACTATATTGTTACACTATTTTTCTGTTACAGTTCATGATCTGCAGAGCTTCGGACTTGATAATGTAAGTGTTGCCAAGATAGTGTTCTAGTTTTCTTCATCTATTTTCCTTCTGTATTTCCTCACCTTTGCTCCATTGAGATCGTAGTGTTCTGATGCCAGCTGGATTTGGCTTTATGAGTCTGAGCAGAACCTGGGAAGGTTTCACACAGGGCTCTGAAGTACATTCTGGGACATCTGCACATTGCTTGGCAAGCCTGTTCCCCTCTACCTGAGGCTGCCTTGCTCCTTAATTTGTGCTTCCCAATTTTCTAAGGTTGACAGTTTCACAACTGCTTCTATTGGAGTTTACCTTGTGCTGGGAGGAAAGCAGGAGATACCCATGCCTGTGCCACTGAGGCAGCTTAACAGCATGGTGCAACTATGGCAGGGGCAGGCAGAGGACTGGGTAGGAGAGTCTGCTCTGTAGATGGGTAGGAAGGACACCTGAATCTGGTGATTTCCAGCAGGAGAAGGATAAATTCCAATCTTGGAGTCTCCCATGAATAAAAAAGATTAGCAAGTGCTTTGGAGTTTACTGTCAAGACACACAGAGTAAGGGAGGATCTGTCTATTCCAGAGCCATGCTCAGAAAAATACACAAATAATTGATTTTAGGCCCCTTACCTTGTACCTTGGATGCTGTGCAGTTGAGTTATTGGCATTTCCATTTCAGATCAATATGACGCACTATATCAAACATCTCTCCTTTGGAAGGGATTATCCAGGCATTGTGAACCCTCTGGATGGGACGGATGTCACTGCGCAGCAAGGTAAAAGCCAGCTAAGAGAAATCTCCTTTTAAATGACTGTATTAATAAGGAGCTAAGTTCTCAGTCCTTAACAAGAACCTTGACAGTATTGTGCAAAACGTGGACTCCTCCACCTTGTGCTCTTTCTGTCTCTGTTCATCTGGAACAAATCTGCCAGTGTGTTTTGATTCTGTGAGCTTTCTGAAAGATCTCTTTCAGTGTTCATAGGTGCCCAACAGCAGGTACAGCACATCACTGTTAGATGCCTACATTGGCCCTGTCTAGCTGCGGGCAGTAGGAGATAAGCAGAAGATGCAGCATAGATTAAAAAGGCATAATTGGTAGTTGCTGGAGAGCCGTGGTGTCTGCCTGACCTTCATCTACCCAACAGTAACAGCTGAACAGCAGCAGTGAGGTTGAAATATTGCTGATCTTTTCTAGATGGCTCCAGTTTGCTGGCTGGAAAACGAAAGACAATTCTCTCCTCATGCTACTACTGCTCAAACTGTTACCTTGGTTTATTTACACAAGCCTGATTGTGTGCATTTTCCAGTTCATAAACCACTGCAGACATCAGTTATTTGTTTAGATCCCCTGAAGTCTGCAAAGTTTGTCTTTGCAGGTACTTGGGGTGCTGGTTTATAATCAATTTGGAGAAAGAAGTCATTTGCTTTAAAATAGTGATAGGATTATTAATCCTCCCTGAATCCATTCCTTTAAATTTTCCACCATCGATTTTAATTCTTAAAAACTCAAATCAAAGGATGGTGCTTAAAATAAAATACAGAAAAATGAAAAGGTGCCATAATCCTTGATACAATCATGATGCCACAGTTTTTCTGTGGAATAACACACTCTGTGAGAGAGGACCCATAGCTGGCTGGTAAAATTCTCTCTGTAGGTTGTGAAGCTTTCCAACCTGGGCCTCAGAGAACCTGTTGGCAAATCCTTGAGGAATTAGGACTACTTAGGAATAATTCCTTGGTGATGTTATGACTACTTAGGAATAATTCCTTGGTGATGTTACGACCTTAAATATAAAGGTTTTCATGTGCTAGAATAAGAATTTTCAAGAAGTTGCAGTGGTAAAACAGTAGCAAGGTAACCACTTTGTAGAAAGTTTTCCATTTAGTCAAGACCCAAATGCCAGTAGTTTCAGTTTTGGTTGGGGCAGGAACGGGATTCACTTTGGCAAAAGGAAAACTCATGTCAGCCATTAACTTTATTGTCCTTGAAAACCCCCAGGAGCTCTTGTGTGGAAGGATGTTCTCTGACAAGTTAAACAAACCCAGGTTGTGTCTAGCTAGCCTGTCAGCTGAGCTTTCCAGCTCTTCCATGGTTATTAACTGTGTCTCTCTGTCTTCGCTTATAGCTTCCATGATGTTTCAGTATTTTGTCAAAGTGGTCCCCACGGTGTATATGAAAGTAGATGGTGAAGTAAGTACCTTTTCCCCTATTGTTTTGGCAAGCAACACAATCTGTTTGACTTCCTTCATGTCACCACCCCTGCAAGAATAACAGTGTTTGTGGTGTAATATTACCTGTAATGTCACAGCAGTGATGAAGCAGATTTCAGCCTTCTCCGTCCCACCTAGATCAAAATGTTTTCATCTTGTTCCCTCATGAATCCCTCATAGTGCATGCTCGGGAGAAGTCAAAGCAGCAAGGAAATCCTAAAAATGTTCTTTGGGGAATAAGCCAAGATCAGCTTCTCTCCAATTTAAAAACTCCTTTAGCCTTTGAAAGAGCGTGGGTAGATTTTCCAGCCCTGCTTTCAGAATATGTCCTTCTTTTGGAACAGGTAGGATAAAACTATTACTGAGGAGATAGCAGGGTGAGGCAAAGATCCTGAGAACAGAAACTGTCCTTCTGCAGCCCTGACACTCTCCTGCCTTTGTGTATTAGTTCCTTTTTCCTCGCTTTTGAATACATGAGGCTTTCTCACCTCAGTGCAGTCTCTTGAAACATGCTTAGGTGGACTGTGTTTTGGTATAGGATGATTTGGTGTTGGGGTTGAGGTTGAGAGGGACAGCTTATGCCATTACTTGCCAGCAGAGACTAAAACAGTCCAGTCTGGGGACAGATGCGTCACTAATCCTTTGGCTGGCTGCAGCTTTAATGGCTAGACCTGGTGGTGCTGTTTAAGACTCTTTGTAACCGCTGTCAAGGTCTCCACAAGTGAGTGGGCAGGACTACATTGATATGGTTCACCTAACAAATGGCTTGGTAGCCTAATAGTAGCCTTTCCTTTTCCCTGTTAACTAAACAATGTTTGCTGTGTTTGTTTCCTGCTAGGTGGTAAGGACTAACCAATTTTCAGTTACACGACATGAGAAAATAGCCAACGGGCTACTAGGAGACCAGGGCCTGCCTGGCGTATTTGTGCTCTATGAGCTTTCACCCATGATGGTGAAGCTGACAGAGAAACACAGGTAAGAGACATTTCAATCTATTTAATTCCATTCATTTTTGTCTTTTTGCATAGGTTAAAACTCCATCCTCGCTTAGACATGACCGTGCAAATGCCTGTAAGCCATCCAAGCCCCTTCCCAGTCAGTGGAGAGGAAGAGGCTCTCTCAGATGCCCTTCCTCTCCATGGGAGCAGCTGAAGGGTTCAGGGGTTTTCTGATAGTATCTGAAGCATTTTAATCCACTATCTAGATGAAGAAGAAAATTGGAGCAGTGAGCAGAAGTCTGATACAGCGGTTCGTGGATCAAACTAATTTCCTCAAAGTCTTTTTTTAGTGTGAAGACTAGTTTTATATAGCATACCCATCTTATCAGCACCTACAGCACCAACCTGGTTACTTACTCTGCATTTGCTATAGCTTTTCTATGTGTCATGGTTAGTGTGAAACCTCTTTCTTTTCTTCAGGTCCTCCATTAATCACAGGCATGTAGTTACAGGGGAATGGAAGATGTTTTAGCTGTTTGATCTTTTAGGATCATAATAAGTGACAGCCAATGGCTATACCTTAAAATATATTAGCATATGCTTAGGGATTTAGTTTTTGAGTTACAGAAGTCTGCTGTGTATTCTGTCTGAGTAGTGATGGATAAAATCTTAGGGATTAAAAGGTTTATAAATTCAGTACTTGCCTCCAAGTGTTACAGTTGAGCTCATTAGAGCACATTGCTTTAATGCTGCCCAGTGCTGTTCAGTAAAAGTATCAGTGACAAACTCCATTCTGTAGGCAATAGGGGTTATTTGTTAAATCTGTTAATTGTCATCTATTAATTATATAATGCATACTTATGTGCTGTGATGAACATTATTATAATTATGAGTTAGTTTTTGTAAGTTGTTACTTATTTGACAGTATCTGAGCTCCTGCTGGTTGTTCAAATTGTTTTCCTCATTCTAGGTCCTTTACACACTTTCTCACGGGAGTTTGTGCCATCGTTGGAGGCATATTTACAGGTAGGAGCTCAGGTTTCTGTCCTGTGAAAGCCACCTCAATGGATGCAGGGTAGTCTGGAGTTTGTGGTGTAGTAGACCCATTCTGAGCTTTTCTGTGGTCCCAAACAAGCATTGAATTAATAGTCATCTTCAGTACTGGAGAGATTTGGGGAAAATAGTGCAGAAAGAACTAAAGGCATCCATTTATTTTGCTTTGTGTCCTTGGTGAGTAAGCATTCTCGTCTCTGGTAAAGGGCATCCATCAAGGGCAGCGCCAGATAGAGTAGCTTTCTTTTAAGGTTACTGTGAAATGAGTGAGAAATGGGAAACATGCCCTTGACAAGCTGGGTCAGGGCAATGACATGGCATAAAGCTCAGCATCAGCTTCCTCTCCAAACTATTCTCACTCATCAGTAAACACACGTAACTCTGTCTGTCTCATTTTTACCTCTGTGAGAGAGAGCTGGTTTTGGAGAAGCATGATCACCTCTGTCCTGCAAGTTGGATCTTGTCTGTCCTTATGAGATGAGCACCTTATTCTGAGCAGTAGCAGCTGTTTTCTATCTGGGGGAGCTGGAATTCCTTTTCACTGACAGAAGGGTTTGTGTTTGATTTCTGTGGTAGTTGTTGTCTCTTTGAGGGATGTCTGGCTTGATCTGTTTGTTTTTTCCTTTTAGTTGCAGGACTCATTGACTCCTTGATCTATCACTCAGCACGTGCCATCCAGAAGAAAATTGAACTTGGGAAGACGACATAGATAAGCAATGACCCCACAGAAAAACCTCTAAGGAGAAGTAAACAGTTTTTTTGAAACACAAGTGATCTTCTGAGTGCACAGGAGAAGAGGCTTGGAAGTACCAGATGGCTCTGACCACACTTAATGTTCCTGTCCCATCATTATCATTCTTTGTTTGGCATTAATAGGTAGATGGAACTGCTTGAACCTTGCTGCTATAAAGATTAGCCATCTTGTCTGGCTGTGCAGACCCTACTGTAAAACCCCTTTTGTGTCAGTCCATGTTCATCCAGTTCCACCCCCCTCCCTGAAAGAGATGCTGGAGATACTGCATTCTGTTTGCCTCCAGGCATAATGTACTGTATTGTCATGACACCTGGAATGGGTTGAAGTTGCCACCAAATAAGCTTTCTAGCAACACCATCTAGCTTTTAATCTTTCTTAGAACTGTGTCTGAGTGCTGATGCTGTATGCCAGACCTCTGTGCCAATGTGCTGTATCCCATGTAGTCCTTCCAGCTGTCCTGGGCAACATGGTGACACTTAGCACTTCTGATGTCCTTACTGTACCGTGGGGCATTGCAGTTGCTCCAGATTGCTCTTAGGAAAGATGCAAGTTGATGTTTCAGCAAAAAAAAACCTGTTTGGAGTTTTAATTGATTTTTAACTCCCATTGTGTTTTTCACTTCCCCTCTGTTTATATTTTGAAATAAAGCCCATTCTCTGTGTGTTTTGGTAAAGCATTTGGAAGAGTAATTTAATTAATGTGAACTAGTCCTGGTACTATTTGAAATTTTAATTCAAAAATACATTTGCATTGTGGCAAAGTCTGTAGCTGTCATGGTGGTTGGGGTTTTTGTCTTTTTAATGACCTACACAAGTGAGTAAAGTGGTTGGTATGTGAAATTATAGTGGGAGAAATTTGAAAATAATGAGTGAAAATGAAATGCTGTGGATTCCTGCCTCATTTTGAGGCAAGCCAGACTCACTGCTCTTAAATCCCCGCTCTGGATTTGCTTTGGTATTAACTTGGTCCAAGCAATTGGTCCAACAGTGCACACTGTGACGGGCCCAGGATCAGGTAATGCAGAAAAACAGTTATTCAATAATTAATTTGAAAATAGTTTTTGCTTTACATTTAATAAATCCATGGGATCAGGATTATATAATACTATTACAGTGCGAGGAAGGGGACAGGGTACCTGTATGTTTTATGCAGAACAAAAAGTGACCTGAACAGCTTCAACCCCTCAGCAGACTACCTAAACCTGAGAGAATAATCAGGAGGGGGAAGATGAATGGAAATAATGCAGCAAGAGTTTAACCCACAGTTAAACAGTTACCAGGTATTACTTGTCTTTGATAGGAAAGCCAACTACTTGTAAAGCTCAGGAAAACATCGAGCGCAAGGCACAGAACATGGCTTAGCACTGAGAAAACAGGGAAGGTGAGGGGTAGGTAAGTGCAAGACTTGGACTCAGTGTGGGAAACTGGTTATGACAGAGAAGAGGAACAGAAGACAAATACAGAAATGGAGATTCTGCAGAGGCAAAAAATCAATGAAGCTAAGAAGTAATACAGGTTTCAGCTATAAAATGAGAGCTTATGAGTAAGGAGTCTATTAAAATGTGATTTTAATAGACTGAAAGACCAAGTGACTCATGGCCATGGAAAAGCTGTGTCTGATTAAATGATGTTGTGATTGAATGAATGCAAAAATACATCCTGCTACCTCTGCTCTGGAGGAAAAAACCTCTTTTGGGGAGCTTTCTCCAGGGTCTGCAGTCTTGTTCTGCAGATGGAGCTCAGGCAGATTGTGCAGTCTTCCCAAAGCAGTAAATGGCTCAAAAAGTAAAGCAAATGGTAATAGATTCACCTGTGTTTTCAAGGTTTATTCAATGTAAGATCAGTTAAACTGTACTTGATTCTGTTGTCTTCAGACAGCTTGCTTGACTTTTTTCCTTTCTTACTCTTCTTTGATAGAGTTTCAAAGTTTTTTCCTTAGTCATAAAAAGGCTGCCTAAAGAACAACTACGAACATCCCCCAAAAGCTCCATCATGTGGACAGCCACGTTTGAGTGGCTGGCCACATGATGGAGGCTTTGAGAGTTCTGAGCCCTAGCAGCCTGGCTTCAGTCTCTTGGAACTGCATCATCTGTAGAATAAAATCCTGCCTTCAGCTGCCAGTCTCTCGATGAGGCTGAATTCGACGTCAGCGTCGTGGACCCTCGTCCTGCGGAAGGCTCCGGACCAGCGGTTTTTCTCCCAGTAGTGGTGCCAATTCCCTTTGGTGTCTGCTCCGAAGCCAAACACGGAGACCTGCGCACGGCAGCAAGAGCCATTGCTGCAGGGCACTGGGCCAGCCCAAGCACACACCGAGGCAACGCAGCGGTGGCACAGTGGCAGCGCCCGGTCCCGCGGGTGCACTCACACTCACCTGCTGGCAGGCATGCAGGGCGAAGAGCAGGGCCGTGAAGCCGGTGGACGGGTATCGCCCGTGGTGCTGTGTCCAGTTGTCATGGATGTACTTGAGGAAAGCTGGGCTCAGGATCAGCACCTGAGTGGGGAGTGGAAGAACCATCTGTGAACATCATGAACATCACCATGCTGTGACAGGACAGCCAGCCCCTGCCACCAGTGCAGCCATTGGTGCTCCTGCTCAGTGGCTCTGCCCACATCCAGCTGAAAACCATCTCTGAGTGCCCAGTAGGAGCTGGAGCCCTTACCTTGTTCCTGTCAGCTTTGATGAACTGTTTCACTTTCGTGTATGTGCTGCAAAAGCCAGAGGACAGCAGTGAGCAGGGGCACTCCTGCTGCTGGGGCCTCTGCTTTGGAAGCAGCCCTCCAGTGGGGACAGCCACCATCCCACCCATGGCCACAAACTGCAGTACAGAGGGATGCAAAGACTCTCACCCAGGGCCCCTTTGGTCTCACCGGGACCATGGTGGCCCACTGAGGCAGGAGGGTCCATAGGACCACCCCACACCATCCCCAGGGGCTCCAGCACAGTACATGCTGTCCCCCAAAGCCAACGCACTGTGTGAGCTCTCCAGTGGAGAAGGCGCTGGCCACCCACTGCAGGTCCAGTGGCTTGAAGGGGACGAGGACGAGGTGGACGCCAGGCTCAAGGTTCACTGCGCTCTCTGGGTACATGAAGTGATGGGTTGTTCTCATGCCAACATCCTGCTCAAAGCCAGCAATCTTTGCCCTGTTCATCCTAAAGGACAACAGGAAGGCACATCCTAAACCAAAGGTACACGCTATGCTGGTCCCAGGCTGCCAGTTCCACCAGGAAAGGACATCAGGTCACCCTGGCCAGCAGCAAAGGGGACGAGTGACAGGACGGCTGGAGGCTGGTGCACGCCAGGGTCCTGAGGAGATAGGGAGAGCCCAAACCCATTCATGTCACCCACCTCAGCACCCAGTCGTGAGCATCAATCCGCAACCCATGGCCAGAGCCCTTGAGCCGCCCGGAGTTCCCCACCACCGCACAGGTCCTGCGGTGATTCGAGTCCCACACGTTGCCACTTGGAGCCTGGAGCACAGTGAAGAGCTGCCGAAGTATGGCCTGGAGCTGGACAACCCTTGAGCGACCCTGCAGTGTCTGGGGGGGAAAGGACAGAGACAGGCAGCATCAGCCCCTGGCGAGTGCCCGGAAAGCAAGGGGGAGCCCTGCTCCTCGCAGCAGAGCCCTGGGAAAGGTACAGAAAAACCCAATGGGATGTTAGGAAAAGGGTGCAGGACAGCTCCAAGATGGTGTGGGGGGACAGTGAATCCTTGCACCTGCTTTGTCCCCACCTTTAATCTTGGTCCTGCCCCACCACAAACAGACCCAGGGAGAGCCTACTCACCAGCCACCACTGAACCACGTCGGAGGAGAGCTCATGGGCTGTGCCTGTCAGCAGAGGCCCCGTGGTCAGGTTGTAGCGGGCATTGAACCACGCGGAGCCGTTGGTGCTGGCGGTGAGGCAGGCAGCAGGGGCATCAAGGAGGGAGGGAGCCTGAGTGAAGGGGCCGATGCCATCCCTGGGGGCTTGGAAGCATTGCCACAGGACCAGCAGCAGGCACAGGGCCAGCACCACCTGCATGCGCCTCTGGCACAGCATCCTCACACCATCTGCAGTGAGATGTCACAGGAACCAGTGGCAGCAGCGCCACCGGACCCCTTCCCACCCATCCTCCCTGCCCAGGCTCCCGGGACATCCCTTGGCTGCTCACCAGCACTGCAGGGGACCTGAAATAGCCTGGTTTTCGTTTCCTTTTCAAACAGCTTTATTGCTGTGCTCTGCTTCCGGCACTGCCATAGTTACTTAGTCTAGGCAGGGCTCGCTGGCAGCACGTGCTGCACAAGGAGCTGCTCTTTGCCTGTGACACTTTTAGGGTCTGCAGATTGACCCGTGAACAAGCAGCAAAGCATCGTCACCCCCTATCACCAGCTGCACCCCTCCAGAGCAGCAGCCCCCTGCCCATGGAGGAATTCACACCAGCACCGGCGAGCTGCCTCTGGGCACAGAAGCCCCTCGACCTCCCCAGTGGCCATGCTGGTAGCAAATCACTCCCTCCTCAGCCTGGGGGTTTGCAGCTTCGAGGGCACTGAATCATTGCCAGGAGGCAGGAGCAGGAGGTACTAACTGCTGTCTGCATGCATGAACCCTTCTTAAATACCCATAATTAAGAGACATCTCTCTTCTCCATCTAAAAGCACTAAGGTAAACTGAAAGTCAGAGGGAAAAAAGGTTTTCTTGTCCTCAGGGTGTTCACAAAGTGCTCAGTCCCTCAGGACCTGCTTCCTGTGTGCTAGGGAAAGCCTCAGGAGAAGGGATGTGGGGACAGCCTCCATTGCAGGGAGAGATGAGGAAGCAGGAAGGGCGTCCCCTCTATACTGGGGAAGCTGAAGGGGAGAAACCCCCTCCTGCCCTCACCCTCTGCTCCCCGCAGCTGCCCAGGTGCCGTGGCTCTTTGTCCTGGGTTCAGCTGTAACAGTCATTTTTTCTCCTTCTCAGTAGCTGGTGCAGTGCCGTGTTCTCGACTTTAGTCTGAGAACAGAGCTGGTAACACACCAATGTTTTTAGTAGTTGCTCAGTAATGTTTACTCTGACCAAGGACTTTCTCAGTCTCATGCTCTGCCAGGGAGGAGGGGAAGCCGGGAGGAAGCAGAGGCAGGACACCTGACCCAAACTGGCCAAAGGGGTATTCCATAGCACAGCACGTCATGTTATTTCCCTTATCATTATTATTGGTGGTAGCAGCAGTAGTGGTTTGTATTATACCTTAGTTACTGGAGTGCTCTTATCTCGACCCATGGGATTTACACTCTT